AACTAGGTTTTATTATCATGTATTGGTTTATGTATAATTAAATCATTGGACTGATTGCTGTGTGATATAGAAAGGATAAACAAACATCGCTACAGGAAGATGTGCTTGTGCTATTTGACAGGAGGTGGCAGTGTAGCACTGAATGAGTGCAGTAACTCTTCATGGGCAGAAATGGAGAGTTACGTTATAGGGAACATCCAGATATATCCTCCAACACTAGCGACTAGGCAGATGCTAATTCTGAGGTATCTCACACCAATGGGGGAATACCAAGAGGTAAACAAACATGTAATTTGTCGTTGGTACTTTTAATCTTTGTAAAATTAAGGTAGTTTTAGAAGAAAATCAGATATGTTATAAAAATGTTAAATGTTCATTTGAAGAATGAAGAGTAGGTTTTTTGTGACAAAATTTTGTACATGTGAAATGTTCTTTAGTGTTTGATGGGGCCATCTCTTGGGGTATAAAATCATTTTAGATCTATTTATAGAGCGGAAATGTATGATGATGTTCAGTTGTATGGGATACAGATTTATTTTTATAGCTTCTAACTTAAATTCACCTTCAGCTTGATGTGGTGCATTATGCTTCTGCTAACGGGCCTCAGGTGATTCTACAAGTATTTCATCTCAGCGCTAATTTTATTGAGATCCACTGTATTACATAATTTTATAATGTACAATTAGTTTTTGGTAAATAGCTTTTTAGGGTGATATCTATGAGGTCAAACATCACCTTTGAAATGATCGACCCTGACATTGCATTGTATTGTTTTTAATCATGTGTCCTTTGTGTTCTTGTTACAGTTCTTGAGCCATGTGTTTGAACACAATGCCCTTGAGTTGATACTCAAATACACAGATCTGCGGGAATCAAAAGATTCACGGCTTGCCTTTGAAGCACTGAAGTACTTAGCTGCTCTGCTTTGCCACAAGAAATTCTCCATAGAATTTATCAATATGAAAGGATTACAGGTGAGATATTGTCTTTATTCATATGTCTTTTCTGGCATGTGGTAATAGCAAATCTCAGCCAGAGCCCCGAATAGACTAGTACGTTCCTGAAAATGTAAATTGTTTATCTTTGTTTGTAGACACTGTTGAAAGTTCCTAGGCCAAGTGTGGCTGCTACTGGTGTGTCCATCTGCCTCTATTACCTTGCTTACTGTGAAGACGCAATGGAACGAGTTTGCCAGCTATCACACCACATAATAGCTGATTTAGTTAAGTAAGTTAATGTGACAATTCATTGTAACTGAACATAATATACGTGTTTATGTAAATGTAACAAAATTATGTGCGTGTGGAGGAGACAGTAATTTATTTACTGTACAAATTTAGGGTAGCAGAAGATAGAGAATGGTTAATTATAAATATTATATGTACGTATGTGTATAAATATTTATGTATTCTTTTTGTCAATGAAACCAGTAGAATTCTTCAGTGTATATTTGCCATACGCTATTAGCTTTGCCTCATGTGAATGTACGTACCCTGCATGATTTTAATAAGGTTTTATAAATATCACACTGGATTCCCACGTATCCAATCATCAGATGTGCTTATGCTTTGTCTGATGTTACACAAGTGTATGGTTCATAAGCATTCTTTTTTGGAAATAATACGTTGTGCTAAAATTTGTCTCGATTAGTGTGCTCCATATGTATAATATTCTTGTCAGGTATACACTTTGGTTGCTGGAATGTTCCCATGATTCTGGACGATGCCATGCAACAATGTTTTTTGGACTATCCTTCCAGTTTCGAGCAATCTTGGCTGAATTTGATGCTCAAGATGGTCTTAGGAAACTCTATAATGTCGTAAGTTTCGTAACACTAATTTTTGTACATTCTTTTTCGTCATAAAAGTGTATAATGTGCTTCTTCATCCATCTTTACTTACAGTATGATAATGATCAAGTCTTTGAAATCCGAACCAGATGGTTGGCTTTGAATCCTGAAATTGATGGTATCACACCCAACTTTTATTATCATAGAAATTCATTTTTTGTGAAATGGACTTAATTTTAAATAATTTAATTATACAGCCCCTTTGTAAAAACTGATCTTAAATAGAGTTTCTTTGTTTCATCAGATAAGTGAAGGGAGAATGCTTGATATTGTTACCAGATTAGCACTTTACCAATCCTGTCAGTGGAGGATGATGCAACGTTGAATGATGATGAAGAATGTGCTGCTCGGCAGATAGTGCGTCATGTTTGCGTTGCACTCAAGCGCTACCTAGAAGCACATCTCTGTATCAAAGCTGAGAACTTGAGACGGACGCAGTTCCGAGAGACTGGTGGCCAGTTGGAACCAGGTCTTCCACCTGCTAAGGTAAGCACAGAGAATTTTGTTTCCATGATTTTATTGTGAGACGTTATAATGCATAAACAAAGCCAGATGGTATTGATAAATGTTGTATAATTAAATTTGATAATACCAGGCCATTTGCTTGCAGCTGCACTTTAAGCTGCGTACGATATTTGCCAATTTATAGTGCGTGAAGAAAGTATAAAATATTTCTTAATTTATAACATTTTAAACTGAAGAGGAACGTAAAAATTGTAGTATTTTCATGTCAAACACTGTATGTGCCTCTGAGAAATCAACATTTTTCCAATACATAGATCGAGTGGTTTATGTTGTTAAGAAAAGTGGACAATCATTGTCTCTTCTTGCATTTTGTGCTGTTCGCTTCTTGAATTTTGAAATTTCCAGGTCAAGTCAAGTCCTGAAGAGGTTCAAGAGCAGGTTCAACAGCTTCTGGATCTGATGCCTTTTCGATCTCATTGGGAGCCAGTGGATCAGCTCATAAGACTTGGTGGCGTTACCTTATTATTGCAGATAATAGCATTTGCGTACGAGTGGAACTATTCTGGTCGGTAAGTTCCGTTTTATGTTTCTTCCATCCGTGTGTTCTTATTTTTGTGTTACAGGGTGTGTGATTCTTCATGTTTGTTTTTGTGTTTTATGTACACAGATCCCCTTGTGAGAACTGAGAAACCTTATGGATTCTATGATATGTTGACTTTGATAACACTCTGTAGGAAAGTGGCTCGATATATATGAATTGCTCAAGATCTTGCATTTTGCGTATAGGAAAGTACGAAGATATTTAGAAGTTTGGAATAGCTGTGTGGCGAATTGCGTCTGTATCGCTAGAAGATTTTAAAAAAGGACTGTGTATCATTGAATGACCTTGTGCATTCAACTGATACGACAGGTTTAAACATTCTGATTATTGAAGTGGATTGCTTACATATAATTTTACTTAAATGTTACATTAAATTATTGTATTATAACAGTATTATAAAACTTCAGTCAGCCTCCAATTATGATGTTTGTAAATGAGTGTACATTATGTGTTCACTGTGGTCTTCTGGATTGTAATGCCGTGTAGACCTGTAGGTGAATATCATCATTTTGGAGGAACATACAGCCTCCATCTTTAAGGCTGAAATTAATTGGACAGAAAAATCACTATGTGAATTACTGGGAAACATACATTTGTTGTTTCACTGTATGTCTGACCTGCGTAGTGTTGCTTTTTTAATGGTGTTTTAATATCCGTCGTTTTTACAGGGCAGAGACAGTACGCAGTGCACTGGATGTGTTAGCTATTTGCAGTGTGATGCCACGTGTACAGTTGCTACTGTGTGATCGTGTAGACCTTCCTGATGAAGCCATGACAGTAGGAATGAACATAATCCTGGGAGCTGCAGAGGGCGAGATAGTGGCCGATGCCGACGTACAAAGAGCTGCACTCGCTGTTATCATAAACTGTGTATGCGCGCCCATCCATAGGATAGGAGGCACTGTTGGGCGCTTCTCAGTCATTGGTTCAGCGAAGAAGAAGACTAACAATTTCCGTAGCAGCGAGGAACTTATTGGAAAGATGTGGGAGAGTGTTAGATCCAATAATGGCATCATGGTATGTTACACTGCTTGCGCCATATTATATTGAGACACCAAGTTCTCGTAAAGGATATTCTGATAGTGGCAAAGGCGTGGGTATTTAAGTGTGTGTGTTGTGTATGATAGAAAAAAGATCCCCTTATCATACGTAAAGATGGGAATGTATTAATTGTGATCATCTATTTAAATTAAGTCAGAATTTTGTAACATAGGATATTAGGAGTTGGTTTGCTAGGCACTTGACAGATTATTTTATAATTCTTCGCTAATGAGCCTGTATTCAAGTGAGAGTATTTTCCGCCTTCAGAAGTCGTGAATAATTTACCTTTGTGCAGTAGTTGAACAGGTACATGATTCCCATATTGTATGTTATTTTAAACAAACTGATGATTAATGTGGTATTTGGACAGGTGCTACTGCAGTTAATGATGGTGAAGACACCAATAACAGATGCAGATTCTATTAGAGCCTTGTCATGCCATGCTCTAGCTGGTCTGGCTCGCAGTGAGACGGTACGACAGATTATTAGCAAACTGCCACTTTTTACAAATGGTCAACTACAAAGTAAGTAAATATAGTGAGTGTTGTCTATCTTGCTTTTGTGTACTGTTATTATATCAGTTGCCATGGAAGTTAGCTGGAAGTTATACCATACTCAGATTAGTTGGTTACCAACTCATAGTAATAGTAGATTGTTTTAATAATAATAAAAAAAAAAGAACAATCTTAGATATACATGAATGGTTGTGTAATTAGGAAAGTGAAACCATGATTTTATAAAGATTCAAACCTATTAATCCAGAAATCATATTTTCCATTAACTTCAGTATTAGTTTAGTCAATTTTGGTTTTGTAAGTTACAGTTTTACAGGATAGACGAATCTAATTTATAAAGGTAACGTTGGTGGATCTTAGCAGTAAAACTCTTTGTGTTTCTTTCAGTGTTAATGAGGGACCCAATCCTACAGGATAAACGTCAGGAACATGTCAGCTTTCAGAAGAGTGCTCTGGAATTGATGGAACGTGTGTCTGGAAAGACAAAGCCCTCCGGTAATGAGTTGGAAATTTCATTAGCAAACATGCATCGAGCGAATGTTGTAGCACAAACTCGTATCCAGTTCAATGACAGACAACTACTGCAATTGATCCAACAGCATTTGGTATCACGTGGACTGTTGGAGACTGCCTCTGCACTGACCAGGGAAGGAGGTCTTCCTGGTGCGCCAATTAAACAGGGACCTAGCTCAAATTTTCCGCCATTCAGTTACCGTTCCAATTTGACGCCCCCGGCTATTCCTCGGGTGAGTATGCTAGTCCAGAATATGTTTGCTTCAGGCCAGTATTCTCAGCATATTTATTCATATTTATTCATATTTATTCTAAGCATGCTCCAGTGCATATTCGGCGTTATCTTTAGTTAGTTCAGTGGCTGGAGGACATCAGTGATGACCTAGATTGCTTTTCGTGACTTACGCTGTTGTCAAATAAAATGAGGACTAATGATGTATTGGTTTTAGTAAACGCTAGAGAAGTCTGGAATAATACTCCTCAAATGTATGACGTATACTATTATTCTGAAAGAAAGAGGTTGATTTTGGATGCTTGAAAATATATGGCATATGCATGTAAATGTTGCAGCCAAGGCTGTCTAGCTTCTCGCCTGGCGCTTCTGTTAGCCACCATCACCACCATAGATCCATAGCAACAGTTCAGAATTCATCAGTGATTTCTGCAGCATCTCAGTTACCAGCTGCTGCAGCATCTGCTGCAAGAAGTAATGTAAATCCAACCACAAGCCAACCACAGCAGTCGGTTACTGGAGTACCGCCAATCAGATTCAATCTTACCAATCCACGGTGAGTCTGTTGGAGTCATATATGCCGCTTTGCCTGGATCCAGAATTTTTTCCCCCTTCATTTTCCGTGACAATAAAGAACAGTCTAGTCTAAACTGTCGTGCTACGGAACTGTATGCTGGTGTTAAAGCATTCAACTTTTAAAATAAATATGTTGGCTAGATTGTGGTTTTCAGAATGGGTTTTCATTTCAGGAAGGTGCAAGGACTTTCTTCTGGTGGCAACTGCAGCAGTCGCTCCCTGCAGAAGCAGATATCCTGTGAGCAGGGTTGCATAATCAGTTCATCTCCCCTTTTGAAGAACACTTCCACTGTCACAACAGGGTGCATTCCAGGGATAGGCGAGTCTCATGTCACTCTTGACTCCATTATCACCGAGTATCTCACAAATCAGCATGCGCTGTGCAAGAATCCCATGGTACCCTGCCCACAGTTCAATCTCTTTGAGTGAGTAGTTAGCGTTTTGAAACTATCAGTAAGAATCTCAGATACAGGTTTATTTATTATATAGGACTTAAACAATAATAGATATATTAGACCCTTATTATGCCATGAGTGTCTGGGGATAGCTTCAAAACCGACGTAATAAGCTACCTGCGTTATAAGTGAAAACAATGTCTAATTCTCATCTCGGGGGACGTGATCTTACCCGCGGTATATCCGATTCTACAGTATTATGAGGCATGGAATAAGGAGGATGTGCTATAGATACTACAGGTTATCATAGTTATTGCTTTATATGTTAATTTCATTTTGGTTATTAAATATCAAAATTTCTCTTGTGTATGCCCTAGATCTAATGTAAAGTAGATGAAGAATGAGTGGATGTAGTGAAGTATGTGCTCTGTTAGAATAACGCGATGTTCAGACAGTATTGAAACTTCTAAATATTCTGATTGTATTTGTCTCGGTGTGAAAATGTGCATAATATTTTGTACTCGATATGGTAGTGTTCAGTTTGTAATTATTTTGTGCATGTTGGGATGTAATTTTGGCGCTGCATAAGAAGGGCTCAGAGACTAAAAATTACATTTGGTTTAAAGTATCTACAGTTTTATTGACTTCTGAAGGCTTTGTAACTTTACAAAAACTTAATAAAACTATTCTGTCTTGATAGTTGTGTCTGGAGATTGAACATTTTGTTCTTTATACAGTCACATGTTAATTAACAAAATGTGGGGAGTTTAAATAATGGAACTTAAATGTGAATATGTGTGTGCATGTGCGTGTACACATGCACGTGTAAGTACAGTGTGGCCAATGGCTCTAAGGCCTTAAATATATGGGAACTATAAATGAAGTCTCCACTATTATGCTTACGCTTTCGAATAATCTCTTCACCTCTGCTAAGTTATGCTTCCCTCTCTTTGTTGGCCATAATTTTGCAGCCACTGTTGAGTGACTTGTATGGAAGATTGTGCGAACATACCGAACAAAGTAATTTGTAATTGGAAAAAATGAAAACTGTGTAAAGTGAGCACAGTAATTTTGCAGTACATATTAATACCATCATCGGATCTGATATTAAGTACAATCTGACAACTCGATATGCTGTAGCACTGTTGACACTGCCTTGCTGGAGAAGGGTGGGGGGGGGGGGGGGGGTTTCCCCCTCCCGGTACCATTTTGTAGGTGGATGCTTTCAGCCCTGAAGATGAAGGCAGTATGTGTCTCCGCCGGTATATAACTACAACGAAGCTGCAAAAACAAACCCAGTGCTTCGACCTTTACTGCGGGTCCTAGATTTGTTGTTGCTGTAGTATATTTAAAATGAGTGGTATTAATATATTTTTAATTTTCAGGCCTCACAAGTGTCCTGACCCCAAGGCAAAGAATTCCGCCCCGACCAACTATGCGATGAGGATTGCCCGTCGGTCATTGGCTTTGGCAGGGAATGATGCATCTCGTTTGGACAGGAAGTTGGTTTACTCACGCTTCTGTCCTGTGAGGACTTTTCGGCTGTCTGAAGATGATGGATTCTTCACGTGTTGTGAATTCCTTGTAAGTAATATGATTATGAGAGTTGGAATACTGGATATATTAAAACAAATGAAGAAAAATTCATAATATTTTGTGTTCAGGGACTTTTTAATAATCCCATTGGTCAAAGTTTTATATAGTAGATTGAAATTCTGTGATGTACTGCTGGATGCAGTGTTATTTTATTTTGTATTTGGTGGACAGTGGACTGAAATATAAGTCTTAAGGGTTAAAGATGCTGTAATCAAATAATTATCTAGATATTTCACTTTTAACACTGTTTATTTTTTGGCAGCCTTGTGACCAGTTCCTCATGATGGGCACATATCAAGGGGAGGTTAAGATGTTCAACTTACATACTGGTTCAGTGAGTATTAACAGATATGTACAGTGTAATTTTATTTTATGATTTTACACGTGTTTAAAAATCTCCTTCATATTGTCGGTAACCCACCAGTGCCTAAAATACTTACATTTAATTTTAATGTATTTCATAAGAATTTGAATATGACATAAATCACATAAATTAAATTCTGAAATCTGTGTTTTGTGTGAGAAGTTTCTCGTTTCCTGCTTACCTAATAATAATGGTGAATAAAGTGTTAATAGATTTGTAAAAGAGATGAAATTATAAATAAGTATAATATTCGGCCTCATCGTTTTCGTTGATTAGTTAAAGAAAATTACAAAAATAATAATCGGAGAGCAGAAGAGTAGAAAATGAGCTGTCGCTTTGAGATTCTTTCCGTGTTACTGTCACCAGATATTTAGTAGGCTTTCTGCCACTGTGGAGTGGGGAAACTGTTGTCCTTTCCCAAAAGACATTTCTGTATGCTCAGAGTGAATCCAGAATTTCATTATAAACTGTACTAAGTTTGGTCACTGAGTTCTAGTAATTTACCGTGGTTACATTTTTTGCCAGTTAGATGTTGAAAATTATATGCTGTATGGTATCAGTTGCATGTACATTTAGTTCCATGTGAAGTATAGAAAACAAGTGTGACATTAAGTGTTTTGTAGGAGGAAGCCACATACCAATGCCATGATTCCTACGTATACCATTTGCAAGCCAGCAGAGACCGCTCACTGCTTCTCACATCTTCCACTTGGCGAAGGCCACTTTCTGCATTATGGAGCATCAACAAATTTTTTGAAATGAAGTGAGTATGTCTGAGATAATAGTGGTTCTGATATGACCAACATTTTTATAGATATTATTTAATTATTTGCAGTTTTATCCTATTCTCATGAGAGAAAAGTTGGTTTAAAGTTGCATGTTCTTAGCCCTTCATTACATATAAAAGCATGACCATGCTAAATTTTGTTCTCATTTTAATAAACGCTTGCCTTACTTGAATAATCACATACCCGAAATATTCAGGTTTACAAGTTAGCACTGGATTATATGTTTATGTACATGTTGCTAATTTTTTCTGGAATATATAGAAAAGTTTCATACGTAACAATTTGCTGAAGTGTATTCAGTAGTTACAGATGTATTTTTGGTCATCATATGGCCAACTTTTCAGCTAAGTTGAATGTTAATGTGTGGTGGATGTCTGCAGGTTTGCGTTAGAAGAGGAGGAATATGTGGAGTTCAGTAAGCTTAATCAAGATCGCATCATTGGGACCAAAGGAGAGATAGCTACGGTTAGTGTAATTATTTACTGACAAGTTATGAAGTTCGCAGCGTGAAGAAACGTTATAAACACGCCACAGCTGATTTCAAACAACCTCAGATGTGGTGGAATATTAAAAAGAAAAGTAATTCAGCTGTTGAAATTCAACCAATAGTTGGCCTTTGTTTTCCACCATTATCACTAATTGGTCCCATAAATACTGTTTTTTCTAAGTGCTATACAAATACCTCTATTTGATGTACCTTGTCACCTTTAATTTATAATTGGCATCACATGCAGTTCCCATCATTGAAGGAATCTGCGTCGTACAAGTCTCTCCAGATTCCAAGTGTTTTTACACAATCACATCGTGTTATAAATTAAGATGAGCGTCCTTTGTCTCAAGATAATTATAGAATGTTAGATCTGGGTTAGAGAGCGAGGTGGCAGATCAGCTCCTAGTCTATGAAGTGTTCTGCCATTTGTTGTTTCATCCAATTTACTTTATTCTCTTTTAATACTATTTTCAGATCTATGACGTAGCCACGGGAAAGAAGATAATGGCTTTGACTCCTCAAATTTCAAATCAGTACACCAAGAACAGAGCTACATACAGTCCTACGGATGAATTGGTACTTTCTGACGGAGTTCTCTGGGATGTCGGCTCAGGCAAAGAAATTCATAAGTTGGACAAATTAAACCAAACATTAAGTGGAGTCTTCCACCCTAATGGTCTGGAGGTAAAAGCATCGATAATAAATGTATTATATAAGGCTGTGTCGTGGACTTTGTCCATGGTCTGGACTCAAGTTATGGTACAGTAGATTGTCATACTGATAGGGCTGTCAGGTGCGAGAGGAAATACTTATTTTGTTGATCTAACAACAGATTTTATGCCGAGGTATAGCATCATTTTGTTCGTAGGACCTTGATGCTATAGAAAATAAACTTAGAAATAATTGTATTTGTTTAGCATTGATCCCTGGTACACGATGTGATACTCCGATTTAGGTTGTGTCAAATACCGAAGTATGGGACCTGCGTACATTTCACTTGTTACGAACGGTGCCTGCTCTAGATCAGTGTCAGGTATTATTCTCTCGTGCAAGAAATGTGATGTATACAGTGTCACTGGAACAGGAGACTGAAGAAGACACTGCCTTTGAATCGTCGTTCAAGACACTAGATGCTTATGACTATTCTAGTATAGGTAAGCTCATATTTTTAATATTATCCCATAAGATAAGTACCATTGTCAGGCATGTGAATTTTTTTCAGAAACAAGCATAATAATTTTAAAAAAATATTTCTGAACTGTAACACATTATTTTTTCAGCAGCAATTTGACATGTTCATTTAATAATTTGCATTGAGTAGCTCCTTTGTGTTTGCAGTTAAAATTGTTTTTATGTGGTGGTACTATTAGCAGAAATATTTTGTAATGAATGTATAGAAGTCTGTTTATTTTGTCTTTATAATCCCATATTTACAGATGATTTCATGTATATGTCTTACTGTCTGGCATATACACAGAAGCATTAAATGTAAACAAACAGTTTAATTGGTCTAATTTAATGACAAAATTTGTTTTGATTTGATATTTATCGTTAGGAAATGTTAAATTTATTTTTGTGTGTGTATGTCAACAAAATAACAACAATTATAATTTAAAGTGTAATACAGTATTTAAGAAACATATATGTTATGATCCTTGCTTTAAGAATCGTAATAGTAGTGACTAAATTAATAGAATATACTATTTTTCTTTGTTTCAGCTACTATTGATGTGAAGAAAAATATCTATGACCTAAGCTGCAACAAATTTGACACACAAATTGCTGTGGTCGAGAATCAAGGAATGTTTGATAGCGTCCAGGAATCATCTGTTCGACTTTACGATGTGGGAAGGAGAAGGGATGACGAAGATGAAGGGGTAAGTTGGAAATATATTAAATTTTATATTAAGGAGGAAACAGAATTATAGTTTGTGTGCACATTGGTGCTGAGCTGTGTGTAGAAACGGCAGGTGCGACTTGTATCAGCAGTGACGTGTGGGAAGGACTTGCGAGTCTTTTTCCGCGTGAAAACACTGAAATCCACATTTATGTTTGCAATGGGGGACAGTGGACTTGAACACTAAACTGAGAGAAAACCTTGTATGAGATTATTTACACTTGCATTTCCAGGAAGAAGATGAAGATGATGAAGACATGGATGGCAGTGAAGATGGCACTGCTTCTCCTACTGCATCAGAAGATGAACAGCATGAAGGTAATGTGTATAAATGGCGTAAATATGTTGGCTTAGTTGATATACTGCATAAGCAGGACTTTTAAGCTACCTGTGTTCATTTAAATGTTTAATATGTGTGTGTGTCCGTACTTGTGTCTGATAGCCATAGTTACTGTGGATTATTTAATGCTAGTGCTACAAGATTACATTCATATTTACAAACTTTCTTAGCTGTTTTTTTTTCTATAAAATACAGTATTAATGAATCAGTCCTGCCAGCACATAGATTAAACATCTGCAGCAACATTTTAAAGCACATGATTAAAAAATTCGCCCCCCACACACACACACAAATTTCCTGTTATCCTCCATACAGCTTGAAGGTAAAAGAACCAATTTTCAAAATAGGTACATATACCCAAAATTTTATGAGCAGTATGCATTAAAATTGTGTATCAATTACGAAATTATGGTAGTAATAGATGTACAAATAAAACAACTTACACGTGACATTTTTTATGGTTTTATTGTATAGTGACAGACTTAATATGTGTTTCTGAATTTTAGACAATGCTGCAGGTGGAAACGCCAATGCCGGGGGTGATAACGCCAATGAGAATGGAAATAATGGTGACGACAACAACATTGCAGACAGCAATAACGAAGATGATGGGGATGATATTGTGATGTCTGACTCAGATGATGACGACGACGACGATAATGATGAGGATGCAGCCATTATTTCACTCTCGGACAGTGCAGACACTGATGAATTGGAAGACATGTTGTTTGCATGAAACTGATTACTTGCAGGAGTGTTCTCCATTGTGTTACAGTGTATCGGTGACTTTCTAAATTTCCACACAAGTCAATATTCATGTCTGTGAAAACTTATTGCTGATAACTTTTGGATCATGTTACAGAATTGTTTCAAATATAATTGTAAAAATTTGTCTGCGACTTCCGTAAACTTCAGACATTCTCGATATCTCTCTCTTCCTCCTACCTTCATCACTTCTTTTATGTCACTGCACAGAAGAAACTGTCATTTAAGATTACTTTTGACGACCATAATGCGAGATTTTGGGTTTTCACAGCGGTTAAAATGTGGATTGTGGTCTTCTGAGTTCGGACACACACGTCATATTATATAACAGCACTATATATATTACTTGATAATTTAAATTTAGCCTCTAAGAATTCATATCAGTTATCGAGGTTAAGAGCACCAAATGTAGAACATGCGTAAGA